GCTCTAAGGCTAGGAATGCAGGCTCATAAATGTCTTTCACTGTACACAGAAGGTTCTCCAAAATCTTGCAGAGATAATGTTCTATTGTATCCATTCCAGACCTTCCTGTTCCCTGTCACCAGAGTGATCGTCCCAAAATGAAAATCCAGCCATGTCATGGCCAACCGTCCTTGAGTGGTGGTCCATGGGACACATGCCAAGCACAGGCCTCCCCTCTGGCCTCCAGCAGCCTCTGCCCTACCACATGCAGGATTTTGCCAGTGCTCCTTGGGCACCATCTACATGCACTGGTTAAGAGCAACGCTGCCACTGAATGCCAGCTCTGCCACTGATCACATGTGACCACAGGCAGGTTCCTCAATGGGGCTCTTGTGAGTGTCTTACCACATGGAGTTGAGAAAATTAGACAATTTGGGGTATATAAAGTACCCAAAATACTACTTGGAAGAAATAAATACCATGGTAGCTGTTTATATGGCTTTCCAAAGCAATCATCATGGCAGCGAGGAGAAAACGATTTCTGCAGCCAGATACAAAAGCTGGGGTTAAGAAGCAGCAGGAGGTGACAGAACAGGGTTGGAGCCAGTCTCCCTGACCCCACATCCAATGCTGTCCCCTATGCAGGCTTCTCCTGAAGCACCCCCTCACTGTCCTCTACACGGGCCCAGGCATTTCTTGCCTCCATCCCATTGTGTGGAACCCACTTTGTCCTGTCTTGGTCCAGTGGACATCAACCTTGCCCCCAACATCAGGATGAGCATCATTTCCTCCCTGGGTAAGCACTGACCCTGTCCACGCTGCCTCACTGGTGTCTTTGGGACTAACACACCCTTCCCTGTGCTGCACCCACATCACCTCCTGCTCTCTTCCGTGCCAGGAGCAGGGCGGTCATCAGACCCTGTCTCCTCCTGTCATCTGAATGAATGCAAGATGATGAACCTTGGTGGTGTCCTGAGGATGCCTCTGGTCCCTGACAGAGAGATTGAGCTCAGGGACCACATGCTGGGGGAGGATGGGTGACTCCTCGGCCGGGTCCATGGCCCATGGGAATTTCAGGCTTCACATTTCCTGTACAAAAGAAATCACAAAACCTTTCCTATATTTTCCAAGATGTTGAGAATGGATGAAGAAAACTGAATAGATCGTGGCAACCCTGGGAGATGGAATGGAATGGCACTTACCTACTTTCTCCTTCTCCCTGATGTCCCCACACCTGACGCTGACAACAGACCTGATCTTTCCAGAGACTGTAGCAGGAGGGTGTGAAACACAGGTTGTTCCTGCCCAGTGAAACCCCAGTGTTTATTTTGGCATCACTGATGGGAAGCCAGGGGCCCGGGGCAGGGTACTCGGTGTAGTCAGCTCAAGAGAGAAACAAATCCTGCTTCTGCCTCCAAGTTTCCCCTGTGGGTCCCTCTAACTTTGAACCTACAGTAATAACAGCTCAGCCCTTGGGAGATCCCTGAGGTGCAGAAGGTCAGACTCTGCTCATGACCCTTCCAATAGAGGGTCACAAGGAGAAGAAGTGGTGACTTGCCCAAAACACACCGGGCTGGGACTTCGAGTCCTGAGGCAGGAGGCTTCCCAATACACCTCGTCCCACTTTCTTCTTGGAGGGTGCCCTCTGAGTCTATGCAAACCTGCAAGTATGTCACTTCAGCCAGAGAGCAGAGCAAGACCTTGTCACAGAGCCCCTATTCCTGCTACTTGCACTCCCCACAACTGGTTTGTCTCCAGACAGGGCTGTGAGCTCAGGGACCATGTGCTGGGGGAGGATGGGTGACTCCTCGGCCGGGTCCATACCCGTGGGAATTCCAGGCTTCACTTCCCCTGGTGAGGAAGCAGTGGGCCATCAGGTAAAATGTCTGCAGGGTCACCTAGCTCATGAACACAATGCCCATGGCAAGTCTGGCTTGCAGGGCTGTTGTATTGGAATTAAGGTACAGATGGAATCAAGAGTGGTAATTAGCTTCTTTAAAATAGAAAAAAAAATCTTCTATATTATCTGGAGGGGGGCAATGCTGTCGCAAGTGTCTTTAAGTCTGTGGAGGAGGGAGGCAGAAGAGGAGGTCAGGGTGAGGCAGCAGGAGAGACTCCACCCAGGGCTGCTGGGCTTGGGGATGCTGGAGGGAACTGAGCAGGGAGGGCAGCCGCAAGAGGCTGTAGGTCAGGAAAGTGGACTGTCCCCTAGGAGCTCCAAAAGGAGCCCAGCCTGCCAACACCTGGGTGTTAGCCTAACAAGACCCATTTCAGCATGCTGGTGCCAGAACATTCAGCTTTGAAAATAATAACAACAAGGTGTTGTTTAAATCACTAAATTTTTGACAATTTGTTACAGCAGCAAACAGATAAATTGACAAAGTCCTGGGTGTGACTAGTGCCCTCCAAGGTCACACCATCTGGGGAAGGACCTCTCCACTTGCTGCAGAAGGACTCCCAGGCAGACTCTGCTCCTTCCACCTGAGCTACTGGCATTTCTTTCCCAGGGGGTGTGTTTTAAAGAAGCTTGTGTGTAAATCTTAGAACTGGATCCCAAACAAGTGCTTCCCACCCTTCTGGCCCTTTCCCCGCACCTACCCCATGAGGGCACTTCCTCTCCCAAGGTTCCCACACTTGGACCTCTGTGCCACAGAAGCCACAGTGATAATAGAGGGGCTCCAGTCCCAGGAGACCTTGTGACACCAAAGGGGAGTGTTGTTCACTCACATCTTATGGTGACTGGAGTCAGCTCTTCCTCCGGAAGTTTCTCATTCAGCCCACAAGAACCCAGGTCCAAGAACACAACCAAGAAGCATCAGCATCTCTATTTGGGATGGCCCCAGGGACACTCCCAGACCTCATCTGCAGGGCGTGGCTGAGCCCCACTTCCGCAGGCTGCATTCTCTGGGAGTTCCCTGCCACCTTCAGAGATTGGGGACCTGGCTAGGATCCCATCTAAGGGAGGAAGACGTTAAGCCAGGAGGGCCAGGTGCGCTTGTTTCTCTGTCCTAAGATCCTGTGTGTTCAGTGGGGTGGGCCTCTCACCAGGCGCTGCAAGCAACTGAGTCATTTCTTTTTCTCAGTTGGGGGCTGAGGCAGTTGAGTGCACCCCAGTCCCGCAGGCAGGAAGCAGCTTGCCTGGAATGTGGAGCACAGGGAGGCCGAACCCTGTGGCACAGAGGCTCTGTCAGCACCAGCTGCCCTGGGCAGAGGTGCCACAGCCTGGAACCAGGGGCCATGTGCTATCCCAGCAGCTCCTCCCTCCCCAGTCCGCCCAGCCAGGAAGGGCAAGCGTGGGCCCTCCTCCAGCATATGGTTGATCAAGGTGCAGGGGAAAGGGGGCTGGAGGCAGTACCGTCCCCAGGGGCTGGGGTAGGCAGCTGGCATCCGTCAGCAAGGAAACATTCATTTTTAAAGCAGCATAAGAAAAATTAAACTTGGAGTTCCATCATTTCATATAAAAAGCCAAGAATGAAAATAAAAACGGTTCCAGTTATTCTATTCAGAATTTATTTTTAATGCCAATGACAACAAAAGAGCTCTTTTACATGAGTCATTTTACAAAACAGAAAACACGATTTCCTGAAATGGCATTTTAGAGAACTTAAAGGAAAGAAGCATTTGACACGAGAGAGATGGAGGCAGCTGACTCTGTTCACTTGGGGGCGGGGGGCTAGTCTTTCCCTCCCCCTCCTCCCTCCCTCCCTCCCTCTCTCTCTCTCTCTCTCCCCCCACCCCATTCTTCCCCACCCTCTGAAGTTTCCTTCTCCCTCTCTTCTCTAGTTACTCCTGTTCTTCCTGAAAATCTCCTATAAACCATTCCTTCCCCAAGGATGACAGGGCCCTGCTCTCGTGGAGCTTGGAGACTCAAAGGGGAACTGGCAGTTTCTGAGATGGCTTCTGCACCTGCCTCCATCAGCCACACGGAGGAATGCAGAACCCTGTGAGCCAAGGGCTGCCAGGGAGAGAGAAGAGAGCTCAGAGCAGGGGCACAGGGAGATGGGCTGAGACGGCAGACCAGCATGCACGTCTCCCACAACACCATACTCTCTGCTCTCTGTCCCCCACCGGCGACTCGGCACGGGGCACATGGGAGGTGCTCAGTAAATGACTATGGAGTCACTTGGTGAAGTGGAAAGTGGCCCACTGTGGCATGTGGATCTAAAGTGTGGTTAACACCCCCAGCTACGGGTTCGAAGCTGAAGCCATTAATCTAATGGATAAACATGGCGACTCCTGTCACCTGTCATGCTGCAGAGCACATGTCCACGCTCATCCTCGAGGTGGAAACTTCCCATCTCCAGCTTAATGGCCCCAGGGAATTCTGCCCTGGGGAATTTCTCCTTGAGGAAAGCTCCTCCTGACTGAGCTCCTGCCTCAGGATGGCCCTTCTCCTGGGCTTCCAGGCTGCTCCTGAGACGCCCCGCTCCTCAGGCAGCCCCTCTGCTCCTCTGCCCAGGACCAGCCTGCGTCAAGTGAGAAGCAGCAGCCCAGCTGCCGTCCAGATGGAGCTCATTTGTTTATTTATTTAACAAGCACTTAAAGTTCCAGGCATTATTCTAGATGGCTTATAAATAATAATTCACTTAAGGCTGCTAACTTCCATAGCTTACGAGTGACGCCTGGCTGGAGGCACGCTTCCGGACCCCCACCCCAGAAATGGTGGGGCAAATGAGTGCTGTCCACCATCTGCTCTACACCTCTTCCCTGAGAAGCAGTGTCAGCTGTCTATGTCACCACGCTGCAGGCACAGCTGCAGAAAGCCCGTCACCATTTGTACAGGTTGCTATCTCACAGCCTCATTATCTAGTCCAGAGTGTATGTGATGTACTCACCCTAGGCAGACCTCCCAAGCACCACCAGCAATAACACCCCAGGTCAGATGGTCCTTCTCCTCCCTGCTGTGCCCTAGGTGCTCCTGTGGACACCCCAAACCTGGCCACAGCCCTGGCATCCCTCTTCATCACTTGCATGACCACAACCCTGAGTCTGCTTCTCCCATCGCCCCCTGTTCATCACAGGCTCTCGGCTCCTCCTGCTGACGCCATCTTCCAGTTCCCTGGCATCTGGACACTCATGAGAACCCACTGCCTTCCTCTTTCATACCTTCATGTCTTCACAAACCAGGTAAGTTCAATGGCTTCTTGTCCTCAGAATAAACAGGGAAGCATTGATTTGGAAGGATGTAAGTAGGATGACCTGCCCAGCCTCACTTCTTGGCCTTGTGTCTCTACCTGTGCACCAGGCGTTCCGGCCACAGGTCCCCCTCCCTGCCTTTACCTGTCTCTTGCAGCTGCATAAACAGCTCTGTCTACCTGGAATGTGCCTCCCACAGCCACCCACTGCTCAACCCCCACGACACCTCTACTGAGATGGTGGAGGACGGTCCTGAGATTATCGACTCAGGAACCAGAACACCCGGATCAGCTTTCAGCTCATAGACTTGCTGGATGGCCTCATGTCACCTTACCTGTCTGTCTCTCAGTTTCCCCATCTAAAAAATGGAGTGACATTAAGTTATGTCATAGAGGTATTAGAAGAAACTAATGAGCTAAGATGTGGGACACATTTTTTATTGTACGTAATGATGGGATTCTGTGTTACATATTCATACATGCATACCATATAACAATATAATTTGGCCCATGTCACTCCTCAGCATTTTCCCTGCCCCACACCCTTTGGTCTCTTTCCTCTACTGATCTCTGAGAAGTACTTAATACAATGGCCCGGGCAAGCCCTGGAGAGTGCATTGTCCTTCCCTCCTGCAAACGACCAGCCTTATTCCCAGACCGCTTGTCCACATCTCTGTTTCTTCATTTGCTAAATGATATTTCTATGTATTTCCAGTCTCTCACCTCACAGGGAGCTCCTGGAGAGCAGGGACTGTGTTTGTCTCTGGAAAGGACATGACAAGGACAAGGAGCTCAGCAAAGGTTGGGGGTGTCAGCAAACGAGGCAGTTTTCAGCTGTGTTCTCCCACATGTCCAGGCTTGGAGAGGTCGGGAGTTGAAGTAGGACAATTGTCCCCACTGGTGGGGAGAGGGGCAAGATCGGGGATGTTTGAAGGAAAGTACAGTATCTTGGTTTATGTCCACAAGCAATAGACACAACCACGTCTGAAACAGATGATTCTGCTTACAAAACCTGCAGCACGGTGGACAAAGAAATGAAAGGGACAGATTATACTTTTGGCCAGGAAAGTCCGATGGAGAGAGCCCCATGGAGATCTTTACAGAAGAAATGGGCTAATCAATTGAGGACTTAGAGAAATGTTGCCCAGGCATAGATTGGAGAGCCAGTAAGACATTCCACAGGTGCAGAGGGTGATCACTAATTCCAGCAAGTGGAAATCATCCCCATTTGCTAAAATATTTCAAAATAGTAAAACAGCTGGACTGTTTTACCCCTAAATAGGAATTCTGTTTAATTCTAGGTGTCTCATCATGTTTGATTTCCACCAGGGCACTCAGTTTGCCACTGTTTAGGCAAAATGGTGTTTCCTTTACTTTATGAAAGACGGAGGGGATTGATGTAGATAATTTTCCCCACCCATATTCGTGGGCCTTACCAGCTCACTTAAGAATCTAAACTCTTCATTTTAAGAGTCACCTCTACCAAAAAAATGGGAAGCACCTGGCTCAAAGTCAGGTGCTTTCCTCTTCCTGGCCCCAGGTTTAAGTTGCATGTTAACAACTCATTTCCTTTCCCCAAGTCCTGAGCTTCCTTATCTATATATCTATAAAATTAAAATAATGCTATCATCACAAGTCAGGCTCTGAGATTTGAATGAAGTAACAAGTTTTAAGTTTGGGGAAAATGTGAAGCACTGTCAGTGTATAACAGGAGCCTACTTCAGTCTCCCGCAAAATAACAGGGTCTCTATATATAAAGTCGCTCAGGACATTACATAAGGAATCAATTCATATGAGGACACAGGAAAACCCCAAGATCTACAGTCAGCAGGCTGGAGGGCCAAAGGAGCTGATGGCTTAGTTCCAATGTGAGTCCTGAGATTCAGGGGAGCCAGTGGCGTAAGAAGTCTGTGGCCTCAAGACTCAAGAAGGGTCAATGTTTCAGTCTGAATCAGAAGGCTGGAAAGACCAAAGTCCCAGTCCAGGCAATCAAATGAGAAGAGTCCCCTTCTGGTCTGTCTGTGTGCTCTATCCAGGTGCTCAACTGATTGGATAAAGCCAATCAGGAAGGGCAACAAATGTTCATCTCACTCAGAAACACCCTCACAGACACACCCAGAATAATGTTTGGCCAAGTGGCTGGACACCTCATGGCTTGTCAAGCAGTCACAAAAGTAATCTTCCCAGTGAGTTCCTTCACAGGGGAGGTAAAAGGGTGCTTCTTCACCTTTGTTTAGAGATTTTGGCTGGAAGCCAGGCATGGTGGCACTCTCCTGTAATCCTAGCACCTCTGGAGGCTAAGGCAAGGGGATCACAAGTTCAAAGTCAGCCTCAGCAACTTAGCAAGGCCCTAAGTAACTTAGTGAGACCCTAAGAAACTTAGAAAAGCTCAAAGCAAATTAGTGAGACCCCGTCTCAAAAATAAAACATAAAAAGGGCTGGGGATGTGGCTCAGTGGTTATGAGCCCCTGGGCTCAATCCTCAGTGCCAATCAAAAAAAAAAAAAGATTTTGGATGGAGGGTGCAAATATCTGATAAATGCTAGAATTTTGGAAAGAGCTGTATCAAGAGACAAAGGCACGGGTGGATGGAAGCAGGAGAGAAGAAAAGCAAAAATAGCAGGAGCAAAGCTAGCTTCACAGATTTTCTGAAATATGACAGAAATTGTCTTACATGTATTGTCACGTTTCGTTCTCCCACTAGTCATCTATTTACTGATTTATATATTCAACAATTACTGAGAGCACAATAATGGTCTAGATACTACTCCAGGTACAAGGGCCAAAGAACCGACTAAAGTACAGGCCTCGCCCACAGAGTCCCCCTAGAAATTTAGTCATGTTTGTGAATTTCTCCAGTTTGATGTGTTCGTGAAACCTGAGGACTGCTGGTTTGGAAGTTGGTTGAACTGCTCTCTGGTGCAAACCTCCACTGCCTGTGACACTAGCATCACTACGAGGGACCTTCCATATAGAGCATACAGGAGCGCCCCACTCACCTCCACGCAGTGCTAGTGTCCCGTTGCTCCCGGCTCTCCTAGAGTGCCCAGACTGAAGGGTCTCTTGCCCCCTTTACCCCCACCATCCTGTTTATGTCACAGAAATCCGCACGAAATTATTAACACTTCCTGGACAGCCTGCTCCAGTCCCTTGGTTCCCCTCTGACAATCACAGGGTGAAAATAATGATGATGCTTAACCACAATTTTTAAATTCATAGTTCTTTTATAATTAGCTTCATTTTAGTCTCACAACTCAAAAAAAAATTTAAAACAAGGTGCCCCGGGTCCTACTGTGTAGGCTCAAATCAAGATAGTTTAAGTAGTCTCCTCGCTGTCTTGCAGAAAATGAGAAGCCAAAGTGGGTTTGAAACCATTTCTAGGTGACTCCCTGGTTCGTTGTCCCTCTACCACTTCCAGGGAGCCTGGTCTCAATGGCAGAGAGTAATGAAAAGCAAGTCGATCCACGGCACACTCCAGGGCCCTCCCAACTACATAAAGGGTGTGTTCAGAATGGAAGCCATCCTCCTTGAACTCTTGGCCTTAGGAAGTGAATTGTTTGCAGGAGTGACTGGCACTGTCACCCAGTGCCACCATCTCGTTCTCATTGCAAGCACTGCTGTGGCTTCTTGGGTTCCCCAAGAGAGAGGAGGGACTGAAGATTCCTGGACACCCTGACACAACTCCTAAGCCACCTGCACAGACTCTTAAAATACAGCTAGTTCTCAAGGAGCCGCAGTTCTCAAGCATTTGTACCCTTGGACTCCAGAAGCTAAGGGAACCATGCCAGGACTCAGCAATTCCTCATGGGCAACTTGAGGTGGGAGCTGGCAGGGGACCAGTGTCGGAGAGATTCCCGCCTGGACCCTCTGTGGTAGCTCTGCAAACACAGGTGCTCAACTGACTTTTCTTGAGGGGGATTTGCTCCAGGATTTCCTTGCAATCATGTGTGTGTGGAATCATTCACGGAAGGCAGGGAGTGCAGCACGGTTGAGGGTGTGGACATCAGGCTGGGAAGCAGACATGGATGGGCAGCTCCGAGAGCGGCCACAGCTCGGGTAGACTGCAGCTACCATAGAGCTGGATCTGAGCAGAGGGCCAAGGCCAAAGAGCAGCAAGACCAAGAGGAGCTGGTCCTGCCTGGCCCGGACTCCAGGGTGACCTTCCCCCTCTTCTGACCCCTAAGTTATAACTGGTTAGCTGAAGGCCATATTTAGGCCCAACTGGTAGAATAGACGCTAAGTAGAACTGGGGTGCCTTGGCTGCTCTTAGGTTGCTGGGACTAATGCTGCTGAGAAGTCTGACATGGCAATTGTCGGGGGACACGTCAAGGGTGAGGCCCTATGGATGGCCCCCCAGCTCTACCACAAATGATAGCAAAGGCTGAGGAAGTCCACGCACCATGCTAGGGAAGGCCTAGAATATCCAACTATATCATCTCAAGTGCTATTTAAATAAAGGATAGCTGCTGTTCATAGGTTTCTGACCACCAGACCTGCAAAACAATTTCAGCCATGAACTTCCCACTCTGTAACACATAGTTTTGCTGTGTTCTATTTGTATCCCTAGGAAACCTCAGGAAATTAATTTGAAATCACATTTTTTTAAAAAACAATTGTTTTAGTGAGAATAAAAAGAGGTATGTAACTACAGACTGTCAGTCTTTCAGTATGAAAATAGTTTTTCTACAGGGCTTGTGAAATTAATGGTGTTTCCGAGTGACAAACAGGTGGTCCTATGTCTGTCTCCTGGGGCTCCTATAACAAGAACTGCAGGCTGGGTGACTTCCAACCATGAAATTTATTTTCTTAGGATTCTGGGGGCTGATACTCAAATCAAGGCATTGGCAGGGCCATGCTCCCTCCAAAGCCTTCAGGGGAGGGTCCTTCCTTGCCCCTTCTGGCTTCTGGTTGCCGGGCACTCCTTGGCTTGGGGCGGCTTCGCTCCAGTGCCAGCCTCTATCTCCACAGGGCCATCTCCTCCCCGTGTTTCTCA